CGGCCGGGCGTGTACACGTTTTTGCCCGTTCCCTCTCTGTCGTACTCGAAAATGTTGTGTTATTCCGTAAAATCGGCCTCGGATGATTTTTCAACTTTTTAGTTTCAGCCTCCGACTCGTACCTCCTGCCAAAATATTAAAAACTCACAACATATGGCAATTTCTCTTTAAATCCCGATTGATTCCTTTTTTAGTGTTAGCATAGTTTGTAAGAAATATTATTAGGGTAATAACTTAAAACAGAACGTTTTGTACATAATAAATACAGGGTGGTCTCGAACGTACCGGCCGGACTTTGAGATTTTATAGAAAATTGAATTCTGAACAAAAAATTTCCTATAACATGGGTCGAAAAATGCTTCCTTACAAAGGTAGCGCACAAAAACCTCTGAAATAACGCTTTGTATATTTTTCTTCTTAATAAAAAAGTCTTTAAATCTCGAATTCAATTAGAGTGAAACCAATTCTCTTGTAATTCGTCAACGAGTCTTCCGTTAAAATGATAAACGTAGTTAATGAACGTAACAATAATTCTCTAAGCTCGCAGACACGTGGCCTCTTACACAAATTTTCATTGCATCTCGAACGCCTGTGTCGAATAATCAGTTTATTATTTCAATTGTCCGCTCAGTCTTACGACCTTCCTCGGGGAAATCTTTTCATTCCTCGTGTCAGGATTCGTCAAGCTCTGTCAAAACGGCAGCAGCGTTGTCGAAGGGGAGGCTTCGAGCGCCGGTTGATTTTTTCCCCTATTTTTGTTTTCGTTCCACTTTTTTGTCCCCCCCCCCCTCTCTCTGTCTCTCGTTCTTTATCCAATTCGTCTCGAACAGGAGAGAAGGATTGTCGAGCATTCGTGCGTTGTTACCGTTTGTTTGCTCGCTCGCGCGCCGAACTCGTTTCGGGCGTATCTCCCGAGAGCGCAATATCGTGAATCGCCCTCGAAGCTCGCAACCGGAGCGAACACAGCTATTAACTGTTATTAAGTAAAACTGAGATTTTATTTCGAACGCGATACTCGCTCATTTTTCGCTACCCGCTCGTTTAACGGCACTAATGAGTACGTTCCCGGGTTTTATTGGCCATGTTACCGTGACGCGATTTTGCAAGACGAAATGTAAAAATAACATCGCCCACGTGTCCGCCGTATCGGCCACATTGGCTCTCCTGTATCCATGTCGACCACCGCAATACGCGCTTACGATACGTTACGCAACTACCGCTATTGTATTTCCGTTCTTTTTTCCCTTCCCGCAATAATCCGAGTCGACGACTTTTCACAACGCGCCTCGCAACGGCCATTATTAGCGCGTGCTGAGAAAAAGAATATTATTATCATATATTAACGGCCGCCTCGTTCGCACCGCTTATCGTCCGCATCTTTATCGCGCCGACGATAGTCCCCGTACCCGGCTTGTACTCGGATGCGTAAATTCTTCGGATATGTTACATCCGAACATCAGCGTATTACACGAAGTTTCTCACAAGTTTACGTATTTTTCTTGTATCCGCGCAGAAGTGTTTTTCTAGAACGGCGTTCACTCGATGAGAGTCTATCCTTCGCACTGCTTAATATCCGACACGATCTGTTTCGCCGGTTACGTTTCTCTCGCCCCTTCCCCTCTCCTCCCGCAGGAAGTCTCTTTCTTATCTGACGATCCATATCTCTCGTTGTCAGGGGGGATTTCGGGTGATTGAATTCCATCGAGCTTCGAAAATCATTCTCGGTTTATCTGCGATGGCGGAAACGCACGTGACGCAATCTGCAACGAATCAAGAAGTTAGCTCGCTGTATAACGTACAACTGTTTGTGATTTTGCAAAATTGGGTCCGGTGCGCGAGAAACCTGCCTCGAAGCAGCGGGGTGCAAAACGCCGCGGAAACGGCGCAAGTCGCGCAAATGGATTCACATGAGTAGGTGAGTAGGTAGGTAGGTAGGTAGGTAGGTAGGTAGAGGTAGGTAGGTAGGTAGGTAGATATATAGATAGATAGATAGGTAGGTAGATAGATGGTCTGAGCGAACTCGCCGCGCGTAGGTAGATGCTGCGTACAACGAGTACACTTTAACGAGTACACCGTTTGTTCCGAGGCGGACGCACGAGATGCGAGCGCCGAGCGGAATAATGTGTTGCGTGCTGTGTAATCGTCGAATTCGATCGCAGCAATAGAATTGGTAATTAATAAGGTGAAGCGCGGTGACCTGGAATATTTGGGTGAGTGAGGAAATGTAACAGCTTCTTGGAAATAATTTATGAGATCGCAGAGTAAAAGAATTGCGATTTAAAGTGATAACAAGTCAGGGCATAGCGACAATTTGAAGGATAAAAGAAGTTGAAGGAAGAAAAGCGCTCGTTATAAGCGAAGTTGTAAAAATAAGTTAATGGGCTGCTTACGAGCTAATACAAAGATATTAGTTAATCTCAAAATCAATGTTATTCATATTACAAATACATGTAACGTTTCGAACTTGGTTATCCTCAGCAACAAATTCGGAACAATTAGTTTCAATTTTATGTGAGAAGCAGTTCACAATTTTTTTAATTCCTCCGATCGAGGGAGAAACCACTGAGAGCATTGTGGTGTAGAGATTTGCGGCGCTACTGGGCATTACTTGGCATTACTAGGTATTTTTTGGGCATTAGTTTGGGCATTAGGCCTTGCTGGGGCATTATAAAAATAAAACAAGATAAAATAAGATAATAAAGTAATGCCCACTGGGCATTAGTGGGCATTGGTGTATAAGATTTTGGTCAGCGGTTTCCCCCTCGATTCCGATCCTCTGGAGTTCGCAACAATGTTTATAAAAAATATAAAGTGTCAAAATGGTTTAACAATTGATCAACGAATAATTAAATGTTGATAAAATTAAATGTCTACAAATAAGTCAATGTTACAAAATTTTATAAATGTTATAAATCATTTGACATTTGGTAGCGTGAATGTGGTAGTCCATTATTTGATATATTTAACGAAGATCAAGCATCCGATATGTGCAAATCGATATTAAAAATATTGTTTGGTTCTACGATGAAAATGATGAAAAGAAATTAACATTGGAATGGCATGCGAATTAATAATATAACTACTTTTTCATGATTCGGTAATGATTATAATTATTAACTGGGCATTTCCTAGGTTTTAACGTGATTTTGCACTAATCGTTGGTCTTGTATTGTTGAGAAATTATCCTATTCGTCCGAATAGGTTCTTCTCCGCTCCATTCCATCTCACTAGTGTCAGACTTCTCCCGTCTAAGCGATACAGCGCACCTTAAGTGCGATTAAATGAAGGCGATGTTATATAAGCGGTTACACATTCCTGAAGATCTATCACCCTGTCTCGTGAAGTGTTTCGTGGTCGTTGACGTTCCGTACGTTTTCCTGCACTCTGGAACAATGGCAATCAGACCGAATAGGTCCGCATTGTTACTGGTGTGCTTTACGAGCGGCACATATGCTCGAGTATCACCAGGTATGCGATATCCGCCGCATGGCACTCGTTTGGGTTCACCGGCGAAATCTATCGCCGATAAATCACTAAATCGCCGTTGCCCCTCGCTATATACGTAACGTTCATTTCCCGTTCTTTCCGAATTTCTCCACTTTCACTGGCTGAAAATTGCGCATTGCTCGTAGTTAGACTCAGTGCACTCGTTACGTTCACGTTGTATTATATTTTGTAACTACTATGTAATTTGCTATCACTTGCACAAAAATGTTAATTTTCATTTAAATAGGAAATTATATTTTTTCATAAAATATCAAGTTATCAGATAGTCTACGTTCATCAGCCGTCCGACACAGTTCATCTATTCGATTTTTCTTTTATTTTAGCATCTTAATTGTATTAATGGGATTTCATAACATATTTATGGATTTTTCTGATCTTATATTATGGCTTCGATCTACAACACTTTTGTTCAGGACCAATTGATTATGATCGCTTGGTCAAAAACTTTACATCAGTTTCTTTGCTGCTTTTTGACTGAAGAATCTAAAAGTATTCACTGTTTGACCCGAGGGGGAAACCGCTGGTTAAAATCTTGTATACCAATGTCCACTAATGCCCAGTGGGCTTTACTTTATCTGTGGCATTACTTTATCATATTATCTTACTATATCTTATTTATCTCGTTTCATCTTATTTTATCTGATTTTATCTTTATAATATCCCAGAAAGGCCTAATGCCCAAACTAAGGCCCAAAAATTGCCTAGTAATGTCTAGTAATGCCCAGTAATGTCTCAAATCTGTACAACACAATGCCCACAGCGGTTTCCCCCTCGGTTTGACCTAACTAAAATCGTGACAAGGAATATTTATTGTTCTGAAGATGACTAAAATTGCAATGGAAACGTCCATTAATTCTTACCATCAATTGTTTTTTAATTTTAATCATAATTGAACATAGTTGTTTGTTTGACTCACAACAATAATTATACTCTTATATAATATTATACTCGCGTTATACTCTCATTGCCCATTTGTTATTCTTGTACTTTTATTTTTTTATATCGATTATAATTGATCATATTTTCAACATCCATTTGACGTATCTTTCAATCGAGTTGAGGAGCGGGTCTATAGAGTTCGAAAATTAAATTACACATCACTTATATGTTCCAATAATGACATAACTCGTAAAGCTAAGTTTTCCAGAAATTAAGTTTGAATGTTTTAAATCATTAACATTTTATAATATTTTTAAATACGATTTTGACGTAATAACTTATTACGTACGAATAAAAAAGAATAGTTTTTGTTATGTATTAGCTCTTTATTCAGACATATTTTAACTCCAATTTTATTTCATTTGTAACGATACATCGTTTCCGCTCATTGTATTGTAACACGTAAAATTTACATACATAAAAATTTTCAATAATTGAAACACTATTGCAACAGCATATTCCTGAGACCAAATCAAGTCGAAAAGTCCTGTACTACTTTTCCCTTCGACAAACAGTTATCGACACCCTGTAGATTAAAATAATATTTTGTTTTTTTCAACGAAAAGAATATAAATTGTACAGAATATAAATTATAGTTTTTAATTATGTAAATATTAAAACGCACGTTTGTGCACGTTATGTTATCCGCATCTTGGTTGTATAGACGATCTTCAGCCTACGTGTAAAATCGTAGTTCAATATAATCGGTCACTCTTTCTTTTACACCATCCAACGAGTCGTTATTGACAAAGTCGCGCATATTGTAGGTCATTCGCTTTACATATTCGCTCCAATCGAAATTACTCATATCGAATTTGAATATCTCGCGATCCACCGCGTTCATTCGTCCCCAAAGTTCGACCACCGCGTCATTCCTGAAGTACCATTGCTGCGATATAGAATGGTACATCGCCACAAAATAAGTACTTATCAAATTATAGGCCCTGTACCATCTGAAAATCAGAAAATCTTCAGGTGAATTATATTTAGACGAATGATGGTACAGCGGGTTGCTCGTGGAGTGTCTCGATGTAGCTATTAGTGCTCTAACGATTCGCAAAATGTGTCTGAGAGAAAAAAAGAAGAAAGCAAATACTCGACCTTGGAGGATAGCCGCTAAGTAAGGACGCTGAATCATCCACGATGGTTGCGGACAACAAGTGCATCAGAAACATGAAAATCTTGTGCACCCACAGTCTACTATTCCAAACTATGTACCGCAGCCGCATCTTTTCCACACCCGGTATATTTGATCCGTGGGTGCGTACGTGTTTTTTAAACGTGTCCCAGGTCATCGGCTTTTGACAAGACGAGACATAATTGTACACCAACACTCTTTCCGCGACCGACACGACGCCTGTTTCCGCGTTCACTTTAAATTCTCCCTTGGTATGTCTAACAACAAATTTGATCTTTATTTAAATTTAAATTTTGATTATTGCCGAATTTTTATTACAAAAGACTGTCATTCTTAAAATTGCATAACTTATTATACTTAAATATTATAATTGGAAGTGAAAAATATAAGCTTTCCATGCGCGTTTTTTGCGAAATCAACACATTGAATAATTGCAAAGAACAGAGAAAGTTGAAGAGAAAGAAATGCATGAATTTCTGAGATTGCACATTGAATAAAAAGGAGATTGATTAGAATATTTTTCCTGACAGAAACTTATGTAGTAACGTTATTTGTATATGCAGATTATTTATACAGAGTGTTTCATTTTACTTTTGTTTCAAACGTTTTTCCGTATCTTTCATATTTCTCGAAATATTTGCCTGGGGCAATTAAAATAAAATAATGTATATAATATACATTTATATATATTAATTATTTAATATTTCACCAATATTAAATAATTAAAATTCTTTCTAATTCGGTACTTGCATCTGCTAGTCTTTTGCTAGTTCGTGTTACGCGGCCACTTTAAAAGGTAAATAAAAAGGCGACATTCGTTAATAAGTAGATTAATGAGCTCACCTTGCATTGATGTGCCAAGCGGTGGCGATCAAGCATGACGTCACGTAATCAGCCGGTACGAAGTCGAGGTTTTTTTTTACGTGGCTACGTATCGTGCGCAATAGGCCGAGACTCGAGCTGACCAAGAGACCAATAGGCCCGTACACACTGTCGGACCAACACATGATCGGCTCGTTCCAGGTCGACGTCACGTTAGACGGTCGCACGATGCACACCGGCATTCCGTTGCCGTATCGCAGCACCGTGTCCTCCGCAACCGCTTTCGTAAACGTGAACGAGTTAGGCCAGCCGTCGATCAATCTGCGTCCGAGTTAAAAAATGCTCGTGAAAGATCGCGCGCGCAAGATGGGCGGGAAAGCATTCGTTCGCCTCACTTATTTCCAATAAAGTAATGTTGGATCGTAGAATTCGTCGTGGACATACGAGTCCAAGTTCAATTCGTAAGGAATATTTTATTGTTTAAATTTGATTGGCCAAACAAATTCCCCATCTCCCTTTTATCCACCTCGCTTCTTGCGTGATCAATCGCTGTGAAGGGATGTCGAGGAACAATTCAGGTTGTTCCTTCTTGATGAAATAAATTGAAATATTTACGAAATGTCGGAATAAAAAATAGCAAACTTATACAACCCCAAAGTCAAATCTAAACATTATTTACGCGGGCGACAATATTCGGTTTTTTTTTGTTTCATTAGGTGTTTGGGCAGGTGGAGTGGTATTGGGGGATACTCGATTGTTTTGTATTTTAAGACCGACAAATTAAATTGGCGCGCAGTTCTAGTCTCGAATGTAGCTATGATAGGTGGCATTCGGGAAAATAACATTAGACCGTTTATTACGATAAATATTACCACATGCCACAGTGGTCGAATTGATGAGACGCCCGCCTAGTGAGTAGGGAGGTCCAGTTTCAAACCTTAGCTGAGGGGTAATATTTTTCACAACGAATTTATAATAAAATTATTTAGACACTAACACCCTGTCGCGGCTCTGAGTCCTTTTATTCCTTCGAATTTCTAATTACTTTATTATGTCTTTTTATGTCTTTTATTTAAACAATATTTTAAACAAAAACATCGTTTCGTTGAAGTACTTACGACGATGTAAGAGCATCCAACTTTCTATCGTTCAGGATATTCAACAGCGACAATAATTCATCAGTCTTTATTGGTGGGGGATAGTGTTTCTCTTCAATGGATTTGATTGGCGAATGAGCGAAAGTCGTCGATAGATGGACAAAAGCCTAAAAGTGTCATGTTACTTTGCAACTAATCGCGACAACCTCTTGACACTTGATTCTTACGTTACGTAACGTTATTATATTACCTTGAGATCCGGCATATTCCTCGCAAGTAGCAATATGTCCTTCGTGGCCTGCACATTAACGTTTACCATTATACGAAATTTTTGATTGAGTCGTGTCATCATTGCACCGTGAAAAATAACGTTCGTGTCAAGCAATCTATTACGATTTTGCTGGGATAAGCCCAAGTTTGGCTTACTCAGATCGCTCTCGATCATTATCAATTTCTGCAAGAAATGTGGCTGTTCTTCCTTCAACTTCTCAAATAACTGGAAAGTACAATCTTTTTTTTAATTACGAATGTAGCAACGATATAATCAAGTAATTAATAATATTATAATAATCTAATAAGAACCGAGAACGCTAATTTTTAGATCTGAGCAAGATGTAGGTAGCCCAATAATTTTAATCTAATATGTGAATTCCGAGGGAGAAATCGCTGACCAAAATCTTGTACACCAATGCCCACTAATGCCCAATGGGCATTACTTTATCTTATTATCTCATTTTACCTTATTTTATCTTTATAATGCCCCAGCAAGGCCTAATGCCCAGTTATGCCGCAAATTTGTACACCACAATGTTCTCAGCGGTTTACCCCTCGGTGAATTCATATACTATACTGTTTTCCACCTGTTCTGCGTGCCGTTACTTTTGGACATATAACGCAATTTCGTTTAGGTGGAATAATATAATAAACAAAATATGGCTCTGTTGATATCAATCATAAATAGGTTATAAGTCGAAAACAAATAAAAGATACGCGACAAGCATATATGTAAAAGAAATAACTTTTAAAATTAGAAACGATTAGAGACAAAAGTGTACGTTTCGAACCCTTTTTAGGTTCTTCATCAGCGCAAACATACAAGATATCATGATATAAAAAACAATAATGTGGTCAGAAAATGATAAGATACTAAACATATAAATTATTAAATTCACAATGACTCAGCTTCGCATTAGCTACACATTTTACTTGCTTTACATTTTAATGTTTAGACTATTTCATTTACTGACCGGATGTTTTCGACCAACCGATTTGCGTACCTGCGTAAAGATATATACGGTCTGTCTCGCGCGCGTGGTATTCGCTACGCTTATACTTGGTGCGAGACACTGCCGTGTCTCTTGGTTATCTCTTGTATGCCTGCGCTGATGAAGAACCAAAAAAGAATTCGAAACGTACGCTTTTCTCTCTAATTGTTGTAAATTTTCTAGTTTACTAGCATGCCCCTTGCCCCGGCTTTATTTGCGGTCTCACATGCGTGGCTCTCACGCGCGTAGTAAAAAAAAGCTAAAATTTTACAAATTATTAAGAAGAACCCTAAATCGTCACCCCAAAATTTTTAAACAGGAATATCCTGTTTCTGATAGCAACTTGCCTTTTGAAAATTCAGAGTAAATAGTGTTTTTTAAACACGGAATTTATTCTTTTTAAAAAAAAATTTCGAAAGTAAAAGAAATTAACATTTCAAAGCGGCGATATAACAGCATAAATAAAGAGTATTTTTAAAAAGCTCTACCATCGATAGTTGAGACAATATTTTTTTTGTATATTTAAAACTAGTTTTCTCAAGACCTGAATGGAACGTAATAACAATATTTTAGTCTCATTTGAAAGATATTTAATTCCCTACGACTTTTGTTTCGATACTTTATTTAAAAGAGGGATGCTTTCCTAACTGTTTGCAATGTATTTTTAAAAAATGTGATTTTAAAGATTTTTGGGCATTAATTTCTTAAGGAAGCATTTTTCGGCACACGTTTAGAAGAAATTTGTTCAGAATAAAATTTCCTACAAGATCTCACAGTCTGGCCGAAATAATTGCGGCCATTCTATAAGTATAAGTAATGAAAATATAACATGAAAATGTCACAATAATTGCCACGATAATAAAGCGATATTGTTTTATCGTTTTAACGAGTTGCTTTATCTTAATATATTAGACGTGAAATATTTATAAATTAAAAAATTAATCTTACAGGCAGTTCGGGAAGTTGTTGTATGCGTTCACGAGGATTCTTTCCGTCTTTTTCTCTCACGAATACGTACAGCGTCGCGATATTTGGGCAACATCTGTACAACATTTTGCGAAATGCAACAATTATTCAACAGAAAAAAAAAGTTTCGCGACAATTAATCGATTGATAATCTGTGTGCTTACCGCAGTAATTTCTCAATCAAAAGCTTTCCCAGACATCCCAAGCCGACCGTTATAAGGACTTTGCGACCCGAGAAAAATTGTGCTATTTCACTTTCCATCTTTTTGACCTGAGACTCGTCGCTAAAACGTTAATTATTTTTTATTAAAACATCCATTAGATATTTAAAATTATTTGTCATTGATATAAGAATTCCTGTTATAAACATAACTACGTTGATGGTGGGCACATTTCTTTAATCAATGCCTTAGAAGATTTTTTACGATATATAATATTGAATATATTATTAAACCAACTATACATTATAATAGATAGTGTGTAAATTAATAACTGTCAAATTGCTAGTGATAGTTGATATAGAATAATATTGAAATATTCGTACGTTTGAGTAGACATCGCGGTTGCTGCTTTGAGGAGGTCTTGAAATTCTCGATGTCACTCTTATCGATGTTGAAGTTGGACTGCGAACTCGTAATGCGCCTTGCAGAACTGTGAATGTCACAGTGAATATATATATGTATAATAATAATGCTTACAAATGTATTAAAAAATAGTGATGTCATTAGCAAGTTAAATGAAAGTTACACAATGGGTATGCGTCTAAAGTGACTCAACATTTTAGAAGTCCGTCTGCAAGTTTCCATATTTAGTCATTGATGACCAGTAGGTCATTGATTACTTTACTCGGTCGATTTCTACAAGCATTTAAAAATCAAAGATTCAGTAATGTAACTAGTTGGAGCATATAATTGTTTAAGGCTGGTATTCATAGTCCGTTCTTATATTTAATTGTAAGACCATCTTAAATATAGTTTTAATCTCGCTCTTAATATGTTGTAAACCAATCACACAGAGCCCTCCCCCCCTATTAGTATATTAAGATTATTTAAAAGGATACTGGAGTGATTCAGTGCACTTTTTGCACCTTTTGGTCTTAGAATTGTCAATTCACGAAAACAATTGTGTAATATACAAATTATGTGGCTTTTATGTACAGATTGACAGTGTTCGACTAATCGAACTAAATCAAAGAGCAGTATGGTATCATTGAAATTAATTTTAGAAGCCTAACAAAAATCTATTTACTAGGTTAGGTTAGGTTGTAAAGTGTGAATGTAACAAGATTCCTGTCATGAGTACGCTTACGCATGCGCGACTAGGAATCTTGTTATGGCTGTTTATCAGCTGTCAAGGAAAAAGGTTAATTATTCGAACATTTTGGAAATATGCTGAAACATAGACTGTTTGTTTATTCAGATATCTTGTTCCATAGTTATAAAGCGCAAGAATTCTCATCGTTTCTCGCTTCTGACGTCATAATCCAACATGTCTGCAGTGAGTACTCAGGAGCCTTAACTATCATTTTGAATAGAACTAATTGTTACGAAAGATTTTCTTAAGGCCTGTATCCACAATGCTAGAACACACAGGTCTTTACGGATGCTATTGAAAGAAAGGCTAAAAATAAAATGTTTAAGGTGGCTCCTGCACGAAGGAGCGGTTAGAATGGGTGCTTTAGTGGGGCCCCTTTGATTTGTATAAATTTATGTGAATTTTTTATAAAAAGAAATCACTTAATGCATTTTTGCATTATGTGAAGCAATTAATGCATTATTGATCAAATGCATTGATATGCTAGGTTATATATGCACATTTAAGAACATTCCACCGAGGGTCAGAGTCGAATCAGAATAGAGTTGGGGTAAGCGCTCTTGCGGTGGAAATACCAAACTCGAACCTGAACCCTACCTTATAAAATTTTAAGGTTAATGATGTTCGATGGACCAAATGAGGTTCAGTGGAAGCGACAAGAGTCTTTTGTTAGGTTCCTGTAGTGTTGCCAACAGGTTAAATAGTAATAAGTAGCTTTTTGATTTAGCTCGATTCTGTTTTACCTTAAAATTTTATAAAGCAGGATTCAGGTTTGAATTTGGTGTTACCTCCGAAGCGCTCACCTCAACCCGATTTTGACCCGATTCTAGCCCGGCTCTGGTGGAAAAATATGTGATATTGTCAAGTCTCAAAGAGCTGTCAAATTTCCTCAAAATGTATCTTTTGACTTTACTAATAAGTATCTGTTGCAAAGGTCGGTGACCTCATATGCTTACAATTAACAGCACATTTGAATCCTTGTGACATTTCTTATGTCCATCTCGTTTTTTGTTAAGATCTACTTTTTCTATACAATAATATTAATCCTCAAAGTGCTTCTGCGAGCGATCGGCCCATAACCCCTACCCCAGTGAACACCAAGTAATGTTACAATTTACATAATATCAATATTATAATTTCCTACTTAACAATATAAGTGTAATATAACATTGGTGTTAAAAAATACAACTTTAACATTTTTTCTTTATTTTATTTCATCAGCGAGACCAGGTCTGAAATCTCGCGTACTTATAGATAAAATTTACAACTACAACATACTTCAATTTTAATTTTTTCTACTTTTGGTCGGTTTATGCAGGAGTCACCTTAAACGATACGTGAATAATTTCTTTATACCAAGTTTTTCATCAAAATCGGAATTTGCAAATTATTTGATGTTCACGCGAATCTCCAACCCGTACGGCCGCAATCCCGAGACGTTCAGGGTGCACGACGTGATACTACGTCTGCGAAGCATTTTTGCGTAGTCCCCACGTGAAGTAATATCGCTAGAAGAGACGTAGGTGCGCTATAAAGGTGTATCGCCCGTCGTCCGCGAAGGCGAAGAAACGTCGCGAAGAGGAAAAAGATAGGACGCGCGCGCGCGCGCGCAGGCATACACATACTCGATTACACCGTAAATCGAAAGACGAAGAGGGAAGTAGGCGAGACTCGTTGCGCACGAGGACGACAAGGGTGGTAGAGGAGAGCACGGGGGTACGCTACTCTCCCCCGGGGCCCGCCACTCGGCCGCTATTGTCCCCTCCAGTGGCGCGAGCCACCGCTTCTCGCCTACCCCCTCTGGCGACCACCGCCGGGGTCTTACGACGCAGCGGAGGGGTGAGGGGTGCGCGCGTCACGCATGCCTCCTCGTGCTCTCACACTCGCTTCGTCGGGCCGATCGTGCGCACGTGCATCGCCGCCGCCGCATCCTGCCGATCTCGCTCTCTCAGCCGCGATCGTCTTCAGCGTACTCTTCGATGTCTCTCGCAGCGACGCATACCAGACTGTTGGTTCCACGCGAGACAACGATCGCGCCGCAAGTGCGTAGGAAAGTCGGATCGATCGTGCGAATGGTTTTTCTTCAAGTGTGACTTGTACTGGACGTCGCTGATGTACTGACACTTTTAATCTGACTGTGAACACTGAACGTCGGGTAGAGGACTACTGTACGTGTGAACGATTTTTCTGCAGATGTACGATTGTGTGGATCCAGTGCGCGATTTTCATCGGTAAACGCACTCCGGCCTAACTGTCGATCGAGGGCTTCGTCGCAAGCGTAGTGTCGATTTTGAGTCGGAATCCGAAGAGTCCCCTACTATCGGGGCTCCGCGGACGAACAAAGACGGCGAGCGAAACCGATAACAGTGCGCCAAGATAGCGCCGACGTTAGTTACTACTTCCGATCGCTGCTCGATTTTCAGTCTCTATCTCTATGGGTGATGCAACATTGTCGCGTAGACAGTAAATTGTTGGATCAGTCGCCTGTCATCGACATTCGACATCGATTGCGGCTCGATTGCGAGTGCAAGCGAACCAAAGGTTTACGTTCGAGCGAGAGCCTCTCGTTTCCCGGAAAAATCCGAGCGATACAAAGAGCGACAGATAATAGCGCGCTGTCTTCTCGCTGGGTGGACTCCTCGCTCGCTTCTCTCAAGTCGCCTCGTGTCGGCTGACTTCGGTCGCAGCAAGTAAATTCAGTCTGCTTTCATTCGCTCGCTGAGTGTCGAGCTTATTTACATCTCTTTACATTCGTGCGCTCCAGCGTTTTTGCCATCGTCGGAATTCGGTATCGTCGAGTTGAATGAATACCGCGTGCCATTGTACGAGATTCGCTATTTAATTACACAATCATTCGAAAGGAATGTGACCATCTCTGAGCGAATTCGGTTCTCGCAGCTTTCATCTACGACTATGTCGTTTAAAACGAACGATAGTGAATCTAAGTAAGAGGTGTTTTGTATTGTTTTATTCGAGCAACGCAGAGAATGGGAATTCCAAGCCCCTATTCAATGAGCCATTAGTCTCATGAGTGCTCTTCTGTGTTTGATATATAGTTCTTTTGTTACCACGTCGTAACTACGTCGTGAAAGACACGTCGTCTACCTGTCGTTGCTACTTACGGATTATCAAGAGGTAGAAAATTGCCTATGCGATAAAAGAAAACAAGGGATACATTGGAATGTAAGGAACTGGATGAAATCTGACGATGTTATCGTGTTATGCGAAGCATGTACATTGAATTGTAAAACTGGAAAAGAAAGTCAGGAAACATAAATGATTTTAAATTTACTGAAGATGGGGACTTTCTTCGAACAATCTGATATTCGGAAGACCGACTCGTGAAATTTTTTATTTGGAAAAACTAAGAGTTCTTTTAGCGTTAAATCCAATAAAATATATAGTTTTCTTCGATCGATAAAGGGTCCTGTCGATATATTTATAAAAATTTGCTATAAATTCAAATAGCAAGTAACCAGCCATTGAACCGAAGCAAATTATCAGCGCGATCGATGTCTCACGCGAGATCTATTGCTGTTTTCCGACGATAACGATCCCACGTACTTCTTATCGATCTACGTGCGCCAAAAGCAGACGAATCCTGCGAGAAGCTATTCATCACGCGAACACTTTCGGGCCCGCAGGCCGCGTACGCGGTGAACACTCTTATCTCGATAATGGTTATCGAATAGACGAGAGGCGAGTGAGCAAAGAAAAAGAAGAATCACCGCGAGAATCATCGAGCGGCGGAGAGCGACCTCGAGATAAGGGAGGACAGCAACGGGGAGGAGCTCGCCGATTGTAAATTATATTCACCCGCGCGTCGCAGCTGCGGAAAAATCGGTCGAGCGGACGAAATAATTATTGTGCGCGTTTCCATCTCTCTTTGTGCGAGCGTACACGGTGAGGAAAAGAGAGAAAGAGAGAGAGAGAGAGAGAGAGAGAGAGAGGAAAAAGGAGGGAGGATTAATCGCGCCATGCCGATCGCGACGTGAATCGAATGCGAGGTCCGCCGCGTCGTCGAAGGGCGGAGAACGCGCCCGTGGCGCAGAGTGATCGGCAAGGTGTCATCGCGGCGATCGTTCGTCGCCGAGCGGGAGTCGAAAGTGGTGGACTTGGTGGTGGAGAAGGTGGCGGCGGTGGTGCGGGACTCGTCGTCTGGATGCCAGTTCTCGAGGGCGGAGTGCGAAAAAGGGCCGTGCGTAAAATGCGGATGAGAATCTGTGCCGCGACCAAGGAGTCCTACACGCTCCTCTCCAAGAAACGGTAAAGATTCGCTTTTCCTGCGTGTGTTCGATCCTTGGAGCATATATACCTGGAAGGGTCATAGCTCATTTG